CTGAGTACTGTAGACAGTTGTAACACAATGGTAAGTATTTGTGTATTTAAACATATCAAAACATATAAGAAGTACAGTAAAAATATAGTATTATAATTTTATGGGACCATGTCATATACTTGGGTTATTATTGACCAAAATGTTATTATGCAATGCATAACTGTATTTTTATTATTTTAATTTTAGTTTACTTTTTCATTTTATGCATTGGGCATTATAATTATTGTTAATGGAGGTAATGTTTCTTTAGATTCACCCACATATTCCTACTTTTTTGCCCACTGTTTCCTCGTGCATGTCAGCCCTTCTACCTAGATCATTTTCTTTCTGCCTGAGAAAATGTCCTCAGAATTTCCTTCAGTGAAGGTCTGCAGGTGGTAAGTCCTCAGCCATTGTCTTCATTTCATCTCATCCTCCAAAGATACTTTTGCTGGATGAGCATTTCTGGTTTGCTAGTTATTTTCATCCGGCACCTAAACGATGTCACTCCACGGTGTTCTGACTTCCATGTTGGGGACTGAGGAGTTGGTCTCAGTCTATCATTCTCGCTTTTCTGGCTGGCTTTGGTTTTCTGTATTTTCACTTGGTTGTGCCTTTTTATATATCCTGCTTGGGATTTGATTGACTTTCTGGATATGCAAATGATGTCTCTCATCAATTCTGGAAAATTCTCAGCCATTATCCCTTTGGACTTTGTCTCTGTTCTCTCCTCTGTCTTTTAACTCCCCTTTTCTCTTCTCACATTTGGGAAATTTTACCAGCTCCATCTTCCAGTTCACCAGTTTTCTCTTTAGTGCTCTCAAGTCCACTGTTAAACCTGTCCAGTGTTTTTAATCTTAGTTCTTAGCTTTTTAAATTTCTCTTAGTTCTACTTGTGCATCTACAAATGTCTGTCTCTTTGTTCGCATTTCAGGATTAAACACACCAATTCTGGGTCTCATGATGCAACACCGGAAGTCTTCGCTGCTGTGATTCCTGCTGTGGGATTTTCAATGCTGGCTCATATATCCTGAGAGTGATCGAGGGGAATTCTTTGAGGCTAGGGTTGAACGTTCTTCCAGCAGATGCCCAGACTCACCACATTCCGAACCACTTTAAACCATGCTGTCCACTTGAGGACTTTCAGACACCCAGATAATGTGGCTGGAGTTCCAGACTCATGTGAGTTTATGAATCATTGGATGAGACTCCCCGACTCCTACAAACAGCAAGGTCTGAGATACCCAAGTTTCCTTTCCATTCCTGGGGTGTGCATGTGGGTAAAAGAACTTACTCTGATTTCTAGTTCACCATTATGTTGAGCCGGTACCCTTCGAGGTCTTATCAGCCTCAAAACCACCTCTTCTAACACCAACGCTGTCCCCCTCCTGGGGCTTCTGCCTGTGATGACGTTTTCACCTCTACTGTTCCTTATTTCCTGGTTGGCTTGCTGATGTGTTAATAAAGATTTAACTTGTTTTTATCCAGCACTTTTATTTTTTTTTATTTTTTATTTTTTTAAAAGATGACCGGTAAGGGGATCTCAACCCTTGGCTTGGTGTTGTCAGCACCACGCTCAGCCAGTGAGCGAACCGGCCATCCCTATATGGGATCCGAACCCGTGGCCTTGGTGTTATCAGCACCGCACTCTCCCGAGTGAGCCACGGGCCGGCCCTATCCAGCACTTTTAGTTGTTTTTATTGAGGGATCAGCTTGGGAACCTAGTCTACTGTATAGTCAGAAGCCGAAGTTTATGGCATTTCTTATCCAGTGTTTGGGCCCCCTCCATGGAGACTTTAGAACTCCAAGAGGAGGCAGCACACACAAATAGCTGGAAATTTATGAAGATCTTTTATAAATAAAAATGAAAGAGAAAGTACCTGCCTGGGAATATACTGGCACACAAAGCTATGCCTATTAAAACAGCAAAGACATGGCCAGAAATTTCAGCAATGCATTAGAAATTTGGAAACAGACATCCACACACAGGGTACCCTATTTGAGGCAGAGGAGGGCATGGCCTCCCCAATCTGGCCATGGCCTGGGACAATCAGGCATCCCTTCAGGGTGACACAAACTCTACCAAACTCTATTTCATCCCCACATAAGTCCTAGACAGAAAAAAGTAAAAGTTGAAATCATAAACAGAAAGAAAAAACATGGGAAAATTTGTGCCAATTGCAGGAAAGGCATCTTAAAGCACAAAAGAGACATGTAAAGACTATGGTTTGGGGCCGGCTCATGGCTCACTCGGTAGAGTGTGGTGCTGATAACACCAGGGCCATGGGTTCGGATCCCATATAGGGATGGCTGGTTAGCTCACTTGGGAGAGTGTGGTGCTGCCAACAACAAGTCAAGGGTTAAGATCCCCTTACTGGTCATCTTTTTTTTTTTTTTTTAAAAAGACTATGGTTTGAAAACCATAAAAATAAAACATTTACAGCAAAATTGTCCATAAACAAAATGGAAAGGTATGTTTGGAAAACGTTTACCATGTAAAAGTTTATTATCCCTCATATAAAAAGATAATTATGGGGGCCAGCCCGGTGGCGCACTGCTACAGTGCGCCACTTGGGAGCGCGGCGGTGCTCCCGCCGAGGGTTCGGATCCCACATACAGACCGGCTGCTCACTGGCTGAGCGAGGTGCGGGTGCAACACTGAGGGTTGCGATCCGTTGCCGGTCACGAAAAAAGACAAAAAGGAAAAAAAAAAAGATAATTATGCATGAATGAGAAAAAGACAAACACCCAATGAGAAAAACTTGAGTTGGCTAATTAGAAAAAAGACCAGTAAGTAGAAGGAAAGCTCCCCAGTGGTGGAAGAAGGGAAGTGCAGACAAGCAGGCAGCACCCATCACCTCAGTTTAGCCCGAATGAAACATCGAGGTGATCTGGTATAAATGATGACCCCAGAAGTCCATCCTTACCTGGTCACAAGGGGGAAAGGGCCATTACCTGAATGCCAGGGGACTGGCCAGTCCTAGGATGGGCCCCCTCTCCCAGGACTCCAATCCCACAAATTTCCACTGGGTAGGTGTGGAGGGTGGCTGCGAGTGAGTGGCAGCCAGGTTGGCTCAGGGCCACCAGGTGCTCTGCAGCTCTGGCCCCAAGCTGCTCCACCTCCCCTAGGGCCCCTACTTGGGTTTTTCTGACTCTGGGGCCAGTGGGGGCCAAGAATGCATTGAGGTCGGTGACAAGAGCCTCTAGCTTCTTTGAGATTCAGGCAGGAGGCCAGCATGATTCATTCTCCCTCATGGGCTCTGGCCGATGCTGCCCTGAAGTCTATCTGCTCTTTCTGACGTGCAGCCATGAAGCCCCAACATCCCACACGAAGATGGTCAGAGACCAGCTCCCACTTGGAGACTCCGTAACTAATCCCTTGTAGAGATTAGTGCCTGCCAGTGGCCCTATGACTCTGAACCCCCACTGTTACGGACTGAATGTTTGTGTCCCCACCAATTCATATGTTGAAGCCCTAACCCTCCAATGTGATGGTATTTGGAGATAGGGCCTTTGGGAGGTGATTAGGGTTAGATGAGGTCATAAGGATAGGGCCCTCGTGATGGGATTTGTGGCCTTAATGGAAGAGACACAGTACACAGCAAGAAGGTGGCCGTTTGCAAGCCAGGAGAGCCCTCATCTGAACCCAAGCCTGCAAGCAGCTTCATCTTGGACTTACCAGCCTCCAGAACTATGAGAAATAAGTGTCGGTTGTTTAAGCCACTTATTCTGTGTATTCCGTGGTATTTTGTTTTGGCAGCTGATGCCGAATGATAGAGCTAGAGGAGGAAGTCTGCAGCACAAAACCTTACACAGTTGCAAAAGTGATTCAGGGAAAAGGGCAGTTTGCTGACCAGTTTAGGACATACAATGGTGTGTTAGTTTACTGCGGCTGCCATAACAAATGATCACAAACCACGTGTCTTTAAACAGAAATTTGTTCTCAGTTTTGGAGGTCAGAAGTCTGAAAGGTGTTGGCTGGGCTGGCTCTGTCTGGAGGCTCTAGGGGAGGATCCTTCCTGCCTCTTCTAGCTTCTGGTGGCTCCAGGTGATCCTTGGCTTGTGGCCACATCACTCCAATCCCTGCCACCACTGTCACATGGCCTTCTTTTCTCGTGTCTGTCTTTGGTCTCCTACAGGGACACTTGACGTTGGATTTAGGGCCGACCTGGGTAATTCAAGATGATCTCATCTTGAGATCCCTTACATAATTATATCTGCAAAGAACCCTTTTCAAAATAAGATCATAGGGCTGGCTCGTGGCTCACTCGGGAGAGTGCGGTGCTGATAACACCAAGGCCCCGGGTTCGGATTCCATATAGGGATGGCCGGTCAGCTCACTGGCTGAGCGTGGTGCTGACAACACCAAGTCAAGGGTAAAGATCCCCTTACCGGTCATCTTTTTAAAAAAAAAAAAAAAGATCATATTCACCAGCATGGGTGTTAGAACTTCGACACATTTTCTTATGGGTTACCATTCAACCCAGTATAAATGGGATGGCATCTTCTCTAATATTAAATCTAAATGTTTCTGTACATGCAGAGAGGGATTGGGGAGTTTGTTTGGCAGGAAGTGGATGTTTTATAATCTTTGGGTTTCAGATTCCTCTTTAAAAAGCTTTCTGTAGAGAGTGACTTTCCTGAAATGAGCATCAATCATGTCTGAGGACAGAAGGTTGATTTTCATTTCATGGCCTGGGAGCATAAACACCAGGATGCAAATCTCACCTTGGCAACCAACTGGTTGTGTGACAGGGTTAGGCACTGTTTCCCATCTGTAACTGAAGGCCCCTCACGGTGCTGGGTCAGGTGGGAGGCCATGGTCAGCAGCAAGCTCCACTGGCCATGGTCATTAACCTGAGGCACCTCCTTCCCCAAGCCTCAGTTTCCCTGTCTGTGACACAGAGGCCAGAGCAAGCCAAACCTGCAGGGTCACTGGGGATTCCACGGAAGCTGTCCCCCAGGGCCGGGGTCACATGCCAAGTCTCCCGCAGGCTGAAAGAACAGAGGCCACAGCCGAGTGGAGTGCACGGTTTATTGTCGGGCGGGTGAATGTCAACACAGAGGCCGTGAGGGATGTGTGTGGCAGTAGGGTCGGGGGCGGGGGGCAGTGTGTGTGTTGCCGGCAGGGCTAGAACTCCACCTTGCAGGCGGGAAAGGCCTCGTCCTGCATGGACACCATGCTGTTGCTGCCCAGCACCGTGATGCCCAGTGCCTGGTGCCGGCCATGCGTCTCCTCATACCACTTGTGCATTGCCGCCGAGTCAAAGGTAGGGATCAGGGTCACCTGTGGGCGGGACAGACGGACCAGCAGTGAGGGGCACCCTCTGCCCTCCTTGCCCAGCCGCACACTCCTTCCTTTCCTGGCATTCAAGGCCTGTCTGGCTGCTTTTCTCACCTGGTTTGCTCTGCCTGGATGTCTGCAGCTGGTGGCCAGCCCATCCCCTGAAGTCCCTTCTCTGCCCCACAGTGCCCAAAGGACCTTCTTAGAACACTCTGACCATTCAGGAATCCCTAACCAGGCTGTGCATTGTGCTCCCCTGCTGACCGCCCCCTTCGCTCGCTCCAGCCTCCTTCCCACTCCTTAGACACACCAACCTTGCACCCACTTCTAAGCCTTTGCCTGGGCCATGCCCTCCAACTTCTTCCGAGATGGACTAGAAGCTGCATGAGTGCAGGGGCTGCAGGCTCAGACACAGTGTGACATGGTTCCCTCGTCCCCACACTCGCCTCACCCTTCAAGTCTCGGTTTCAACCTCATGGCTTCACACAGCTTTGGGGATGACCCCAGCTTTCAGGGGTGAGTTCTCAGCTGCATGGACACTGCATGGCCCACCTACTCCATCTCAGCCAATCCTCACAACAGAGGAGTGGCTAAGGGACAGTGTGTCAGGGGAGGGGATAAAATCACCCTGGTCCTGCATCTTCCCCTCGGTTTCCTGCAGACCCAGCCAGGAAGGTGACCTGAGTCAACTGGAGGCTGAGCTGGGTACAACCCCTGTGTGCATCCTTGGGCATGCAGCTGTCCCTCTCAGCCTCACCCATCTCACCAGAGCACACCACACCAGGCCCGGGCCCATCTCGTTTACTGTCATCAGACAGAGGCCCCAGGACGGCACGCACCTGGAGGTCACGGTCCCACTGCTGCTTGCTGGCCAGCAGCGCGTCGAGGATGGCCCGCATGCTCTCTTCCCTGCGCTGGTCCTGGCTGCTGATGACGTAGCAGAGCGCGCGCACTCGCTGGAAGAACTCCTTGTCCACCAGGCGGGCGCTGCTCCCACTGGGCAGATAGGCCAGGTCCAGGTAGACGGGGGAGCTGGGTGGGATGGCTGAGCCACCTGGCCGGCTGCTGGCTGACCCTGCAGGCAGGAAGGATGGGGTCAGTGGTGAGCTCCTGGCTCACCTGTACCTGAGCAATTCCCTCCTCCGACGAGCCCTCCCTTGTGGCGGCAATTATTCCGGTGAATCTTTACTCACTCTGCAAAAACCACCAGTCGCCCTCCCCCACCCCACCCCCATGTCAGGAGCCTGAGGATGACCTTGAGGTGTGTCATCCCTGGCTAGAGACCTCCCCAGGGTCAGAGGGAGGGAGGGGACAATCAGGGAGAGCTTCCTGGAAGAGGGGGTTATAGAGCTTGAGCCCCGCAGCCAGTGCCTGGAACATTCTGCTGTTTCTACAGCATCCATCCCTTCACTCACTCAGGAGGTGTGTATGAAGACCTCCTGGGTACCAGGCCCTGAGGATATGGCAGTGACCAAGATAAAGAAAAACCCCTGCCCCTGAGGGCAATAGGGAGAGCCAGGGACTTGTGAGGGGACCCAGGATGGGGTGGGCTACATGGAGACAAAGCAGCTTTGCTCTCTGGGCCTAGTCCCTGGCCCTGAGGTCAGTACCAAAGGGGACAAGGCCACTGGTCCTGGGCGAGAGAACTGATGATCAACTGACTGAAAGGACACAGCTGGGTGCTGGGCACAGGAAGCCTCCCAGCTCAGGGTGTGGGCCCAGAGCGGGGCATTAGCAGGATGAATGAAACCTCCAACACTGGGCAAGCAGCATCCCTTCCCTGAGTCTTGTCACTCGGGACAGTGATGGCAAGGATCCCAAGTGGAGTCTCAGGAAGAGAAGGCCATCGTGGCTGTGGTCAACACGAGGGAGACAGGAGGGGCTGTCTGTGACATGGGGCAGGGGCGAGGAGACAGAGCAGAGGCCAGTAAACTATGGCCCGAGGGCCAAATCCAGCAACCTCCTGCTTTTATAAAGCTTTGCTGGAATACCCATTCGGTTACGTATTGAGCTACAACGGACTGGTTGAGTAGCTGCGACAGAGACCGTGTGGCCTGTGAAGCTGAAAATACTTAATCTCTAGCTGACTCTGGTGTAAAGGGTGGGTTTATCTGAGGCAGTTTGTACAGGAAACCCTGAGTGACTGAGACTGTGGTCTCTGGAGAGAGGCCAAAAGCCCCGGCAGACAGGGCCTCCAATAACCACCAGCCTCTGGGTGCCAGCCTTGCCCATGGGCCCATGGGCCCTTCTCTCTGCCACTGTACTAGGAACCCCTGACCTGACATAGGTCACAGGGGGCATCAGGTACCTCCCTTAGAATCTGCACAAGAAAGACAAGAGGTGGTGACCAGGAGCTGGGGATACACCTGTGGGGAGAGAAGTCAGAGATGCCTGTCAGCTCCCAGACAGGGACACCCTGGGCACCTGGGAGAGGACCTGGCTCAGGATGAGTGCTCAACAATCACATACCACATGTACTGGATTGAATTATGTCCCCCCAAAACTCACTGAAACTTGAATTGTGTCCCCCAAGTTTTATGTATTAGAAACTTAGTCCCACTGTGACTGATGAGAGGGTGGGAGATCCTATTCTGGTAAGTGAAAGCTGGAGCCTTAAAAAGGTGATTGGATTGTAGGACCATGCAGTAGTGAATGGATTAAAAATGGTGGTCAGGGGCGTGGTTCTGAGGGCTTTAGAAGAGGAGACTCTGTCTTTCTCTCTCTCTGCTTCCACATCTTGCAATGTGAGACCCCTGGGTCACTGTTGCCACCACCAGATGGACCTTGGACTTCCCAGCCTCAGAAACTGTAAGCAATAAATGTTGTTTTTCTTTATACATCACCCAGATGCAGGTATTTTGTTATAAGCAACACAAAATGGACTAATACACCATAGTTGTCGTTACTGTTACTGTTGTCATTATTTTATCACCAGCCCTACCCTGATCATCCTAGACCTGCAGGGACCAACCTGGTTGCCATTGGTCACACATGGATACTGAGCACCAGGAATGTGGCAACTGTGAGCTGAGCTGTGAGTGTAAAACATGCTGGATTCCCAAGACTTAGTGTGGAAAAGATAATGGAAAATATCTAATCATTTTTTGTATCAATTACATGTTGAAATATTGTTTTGGTATAATGGTGTGCAGAAAAGAGAACATGGCAAGAGGATTCTGGAAATATGGTGGAATGGGAAGCAGCAGAAAGCCATCTCTCCACGAAGAGAACGACTGTACTGGCAGCCTCTCCCCATAAGGCCACTTCCATGGGATTTAAAGAGCTGATGCTTTTTTCCTTTTTTAAATCTCCTCTTCAATTTTCTTCTTCCCCTTTTTGGAGTCAGGTATTTAAGGATTAGGACATCCAAAAGCAATTACATATATAGAGAAATTTAGAAAGTCACCATGGGGCTGGCTAGTTGCTCAGCTGGTTAGAGCACAGCCTTATAATTCAAGGTCATGGGTTTGGATCCCTGAACTGGCCAGCCACCAAAAAAAAGTAAAAAGAAAGACACTGTGCATGTGCAGGGAAAGGTGCAAGCTCAGGAAAGGTATCCAAATTGGAAAGGAAGAAGTAAAGTTCTGTCTGTAAATGATATGATCTTACATGTAGGAAATCCTAGAGATTGCACAATAAAATACCATTAAAACTGATAAATTCATCAAAATATCAGGATACAAAATCAACACACAAAAATCAATTGCATCTACGTACTCTAACAATGAACAATCTAAAAAGGAAATAAAGAAAAGAATTCCATTTACGACAGCATCAAAACAAATAAAATACTTAGAAATTAACCTAACTGAGGGGAAAGACTTGTATAATGAAAACTACAAAACATTGCTGAAAGAAATTGAAGGAGATGTAAACAAATGGAAAGACAGCCATGTTCATGAATTGGAAGACTTAATATGAAGATGTTAATATTCCCTAAAGCAATAGGTAGATTCAATTCAATCCCTATCAAAGTCCCACTGACCTTTTTTCGCAGATTCAAAAAAAATCCATCCTAAAATTCATATGGAATCTCAGCATAGCTCAAACAGCTGAAACAATCTTGAAATAAAAGAACAGAGTTGGAGGACTCACACTTCCTAGTTTCAAAACTTACTACAAAGCTACAGTAATCAAAACAGCATGGTACTACAAAAGAAAAAACAAACAAACAAAAAAACAGTGTGGTACTGGCATAAAGACAGACATACACACCAATGGAATAGAATAGAAAGCCCAGAAAGAAACCTTCACATATATGGTCAAATTATTCCACAAGGACATGAAGACAATTCAATGGGGAAAGGACAGTCTCTTCAACAAATGGTGCTGGGAAAACTGGACATCCACATGCAATATAATGAAGTTGGACCCTTACCCCTACCTCACACCAATCAAAAAATTAACTCCAAATAGATCAGACCTAAATATAAGACCTAAAACTATAAAACTCTTGAAAGAAAACAAGGCAAAAACTTCCCAACACTGGATTCAGCAGTGATTTCTTTGGCTATGACACCAAATCACAGGCAACAACAGAAAAACAGTATAACAATTCATCAAAAAATTAAGCACTGAATTTACTGTATGACCTGGCCACTCCACTTCTGGGTATATACCCAAAATAATTGAAGCAGGGTCCTGAAGAGACTTTTGTACACCCATGTTCATAGCCACATTATTCACAATAGCTAAAAGATAGAAGCAACCCAAGTGTCCACTGAGGGATGAATGGATACACACAATGCGGTAGAGATCCATACAATGGAATATTATTGAGCCTTAAAAAGGAAATTCTGACACGTGCTACAACACAGACAAACCTTGAGGACATTGCGCCAAGTGAAAGCAGCCAGTCACAGAAAGATGAATAAATATGGATGATTCCAGTTATGTGAGGTCCCTAGAGGAGTCACATTCATAGAGACAGAAAGCAGAATGGTGGGTGCCAGGGGCTGGGTGCAGGGGATGGGGAGTGAGTGTTTAATGGGGACAGAGTTTCTGTTTTGCCAGATGAGTTCTGGAGAAGGATGGTGATGACACCTGCAGAACACTGTGAATGTACTTAATGCTGCTGAACTGCACACTTAAAAATGGTGAAGACGGTAAACTGCATGTGTATTTTATCACAATTTTTAAAAACTGGAGGGCAAAAAAAAAGCACAGCAGGCCAGACACACTGTTCTTGGTGGGGTCTGCTGACAAGGCTGGCCCGCAGCTGGCATCTGGGAATGTGGGTCTCAGAAGGATTCCTACTATTTCCTAGTGGAGAAGAGGGACTCCCTGGGCCTAGACCGTTTATACAAGGTGGTTTGAACTGGCCACCTGCGCCCCTCTTTCTGGGGAGAACATGCTGAGCAGAGGGCGCCTACGTAACCGGCCCCAGCAAAAACCCCGGGCGCCGAGTCTCTAACAAGCTTCCATGATAGTCACGTTGTCTGTGTTGTCATAACTCGCTGGGGAAATGAAGTACGTGGTGTGTGACTCCACTGGCAGAAAATTCTGGAAGCCCGTGCCTGGTTTCCCTGGGCTTCACCCTATGTTCCTTTTCCTTTTGCTGTGATCCACTTTTGCCTGAGTCCTCCCAGTCAATCCATCACACCCAAGGGTGCTCTTGGTAACCCTGCCACTATGGGTTAAATAAAATACACTAAAATGCCACCTGTTTCTTTGTACTTCTCACAGCTACTAGAAAACCCATTGTTTCCACTGACAGTGCTGCTCAGGCTTTGCCATGACAAGGGCCTCCACAGTGAGGCCAGGACCTCCACTTTACAGGAGAAACTGAGCCCCAGAGAGGAGGACAGGCATGGCTAAGGTCACAAGGCAAGTGGCAAGTGGGGACAGGAGGACGTGAGCCACACTTTCTCTAGCCTAGGCAGCCAGTAACCCAGCACAGGGCTCCAGCCCCAAGTACTCACCAGACGGACCTCGAGTGGCAGCCTTGGGGACTGAGGGCTTTCTGGACAGGGGCACCCGGCCTCCCTTGTCACTGGGCTCGCTCCGGGCACTGAGTGGCCGGCTGGCCCGGTCCCTGTTGGCAAGCCCCTTGGTTTTGGCAGCAGCTACCGGAGCGGCTTTGGAGGTGGCAGTGGCAGAGCTGGGGCGGGCCGGGGGCTTCCGGGTGCGGCTGACACTCTCTGTCTGCCGGGCTGACTTGGGGGGCAGCATCTCAGGGTCCACCATGCAGATACTGGGTGGGTCAGGCAGTGGGGGGGGCACCTTGAGGGGGTCAGGCAGAGGGTCGTGGCAAGGGACCCCAAAGCCGTTTGTGTCATCATCTGAGTCCATGGCACCAGGGGCAGCGGGCAGCAGGTCCGAGTCAGACAGGGTGGGCAGAGACTCACTGACAGATGTGGGTGGCGTCTCCTCAGCCCCTGGCCCACCTGCCCGCTCCTGGGACCGGGCGCTGCTGTCGTTGGAGCTGCCAGGGGACGCAGGTGCTGGCGCCGTGGGCACAACCTTGCGGTGTTCAAACTCACAGGGCGACACCAGGCACAGGTCTACGTCATGTGGGGAGGCTGAGCGCCGTGCCCGGGGGCCTCGAAGCGGGAGACTCAGCCCAGCCTCACTTGAGGTGGCAGGTGGTGGCAGCACCTGCTCAAAGGACACAGACAGGGACTCATCAACCTCTGTGGAGTGCGGAGAACCCACCTCAGCGGGCAATGAAGGCGTGGTAACTGTGGGCGTGGTCACCGTTGGTGACGCGTCAGGCCCAGCCTCCCCGCCCCGCAGTGAACTCAGCGACAGCTGCCCGCTGCCCTCAGTGGGGCTCCAGTGGGGCTCGGTGGTTGATGGCGTGTGTGGCCGGGGGCTGCTGGCGGCCGACAGCAGCTCCAGTGTCTTCTCCTCCAAGCGGCCACCCTCATGGCCGGCCAGGCTCAGCCCCAGCTCCAGGCTGCTGTCCAGGCTGGGTGTAGCCACCAGCTGGGAGGCTGGGGAGCTGCAGGCCGCCGTGGGGGAGCTGGCCTGTCCACATTGGAAGCTGGGGGGACTGCGAGGCCCATTCTCCACTGGTTGAGTGCCCAGATGGGGTGTGGTGAGCGCTCTGCGGGTCTTGGGGGCCACCTGGGTGCCTGCCTTCTTGAGGTTGGGCACAGCAGAGGCTGCCCGGCGCACTTCCCGGGGCTGGGTCCGGGGGGCACTCGGCTTGGTGTCCTTCTTCACCTCTCGGAGGGACCTGGCTTCCTTCTCAGCCCTGCGTGGGGCCTCAGCCCGAGCTGGCTCCTTGTGGGCCACCCCAGGGCGCTCCTGGGCAGGCCTGGCGGGCACCGCCGTCCGGCCCTCTCTCTTTGAGCTGTCCTGGGAGCCCAGGCTGTCTTTGCTCTCTGCTCGCCGTGGCCCCTCCAGGTCCTGGGGTGTCACCACGGGCTCCTGCAGGAACCCCAAGTGTTGCAGGCGGACCAAGCCATCCAGGAGGCGGGCCGGTGGTGTGCAGCCGGGGAACAACACACGCACCACCTTCTCAGCAGGGCCTGCAGGGTGCCACACCAGCAAAGCACACACGGAGGCCAGTGTGCAGTCGGTGTTGGCCGAGGGCGGATGCAGCACATACATATCCAGCCGGCCCACGCCCATCTTCTCAAAGAGCACCGTGGGCTTGGCCGGCAGTGGCCCACGGCTCAGGGGCAGGGGTGTGATGCCCAGCTGGGCCAGCAGGTTCAGTGCCAGCTCCGCCTCATCCTCGCCACGTACCAGCCGTGACGCGGCCTTGCGGGCATTGAGGAACACGACCCCCAGGTTGGGGGAGGTGAGCCTGCGCAGCCTGTCATCCCAGGAGCCCCCACTGGTGGCCACCTCGTGGCGCTCTGCCAGCTTACGTCGCAGCAGGCTATTCAAGCCCGGAAGGCTGTCAGCACCCGCATGGGTCACCAGCATGGCGTCCACCCGATCCAGGTGCCGCACCAGCTTCCAGAAGCTTGACTTGGGGTTCGAGCCACCGTTGACCAGCACAGTGAAGCCATTGACAGCAAAGAAGGCAGCATCCCCAAGACCCCCAGGGAAGATGTAGCAGCAGGGCCGGGCGAGCCTGAGGAAGCCCCCGGAGGACGGAGGCTCCAACAGCTCGAAGGGGGATGGTGGCTCCAGAGACTCAGCCACATACTCCAGGAACTCACGCAGGCCCTCGGAGGCTGGCAGCCGTGCTGGCGGGTTCAGCCGCAGCCGCAACCGGAGCACACCCTGCAGGCCGGGCACGTCAGGTGCCAGCTGGGCCCAGCCACCGAAGGTCGGACAGGTGATGGTGAGTGTGGGCGACTCTGCAGGTGGAGGTGTGGAGGCCAGAATATCCTGGATCTGCAGAGAGGGGGGTGTGGTAACGGGCCACCTACAGCCAGACAACACCCAGCCCTTTGGGAAAACTTGGTGAGGACACCCCAATCCTGCCTCCTGGGGCTGGGAGGATCCCTTGCCTGCTCCTCATCAGTACAAAACCCAGCCCTCCTCAGGGTCACAAGGCCCCACGGTCTGGCCTCACCTCCTGCCTTTCTTTCCCTCCCGGCAAATACCTCCCTGCCCCAGGGCCTTTGCCCCTGCTGTTCTCACCTTCTGGAGCACAGCCCCCTCCCAGGAGACCTTCCATGCCCCCACCTCTGTCTACCGTAGTGCCCCTCGCCATCTTTACGTCACTCACAACAATGTGGAAAAGGTTTTGCCAGAGTCTCTGCCTGTTTGCCCTACCCAGACCGAGGGCTCTGGAAAGAACCCTGTTTGGCTCCATCCCAGCTGGGACCCAGAACCTGGGGCACCACATCAGGCCTCTGGGACATCTACTGACCTACAGGCCCAGTCTCCCACCACGCCCTTTCATGGATGATGGGACTGACCCCTGACAAGCAGGAGGCACATGTGTCTCCACTGCCATCCTACAGAGGAGGGGGAGACAGGGTCAGGGAGGACAGCAGGTCGCTGGGGCCATGTCAATGGGGATGAGCCAGGATTCAGGGCTTGGAGAGGGGATGATGACAAGGGGGCAGCTTACCTCTTTGTCCCCCAGGACCTGGAGGAAGTGGTGGGGTGAGAAGCCCCCTGTCTGGAGCAGCAGCTCGCCTGTCTCCTCCAGGCAGGGCCCAGCCAGCACCAGCAGCTTGTGAGGGGCAGGGTCCAGTAGAAGGTTCCGGAGCTGGGGCAAAGGGGAAGGCATTAAAGGTCCTGTTCTGTGCAGTGATGCAGCCAGTACCTCACCTTGAGGCCAACCCCATCTCCACCCCATGCCCAGCCAGTGCTCAACTAGATGCCTGGAGGGCAGCCTTGGGCCTCCTGACCCCTGGCAAACTCCTGTTTATCCTACAAAGCCCAGCTCCAACACCCTTCCTCCTGAAGCCCTCCTTACCCTTTCTGGGCTCTCTCAAGCCAACCTCTCTCTCTGGCCCAGCCCTGACACCACAGGGCTGGGGGTATCTGTGTCTGGCTCTGTATCCTCCAGAGTGAGAGTCCCTTGAGGGAGCAAAAAGGAACTTTTTTTTTTTGGCAGCTGGCTGGTAGGGGGATCTGAACCCTTGACCTTGGTGTTATAACACCACACTCTGACCAACTGAGCTAACCGGCCAGCCCAAAAGGAAACATTTTTGATTAAAGGAATCAACCTGTAAGAGGGTCTCTAGTGGGCTGCCCCAGGGCTCTATCTTGTTCATCTATCTAAAGTATAATTAGGAGAAGGGTGCAGAGTCCACAAGCCAAGAGTATTAATAAGTCAATTCAGACAACTACGGTCCCAGCTGGAGGGCCCTCAAAGGACACAAGCATCTGTTGGGCCCTGCCTGCCCGGGCCCCACCCTGCCCTGGGAAGGCTCACCTCCCTCCTCCCAGACTCCAGCCTTTTCTGCCCCACCCTGGAGGAGGGAAGAAGTTCAGGCTGGAGCCATGGGGGCTTCCTGGGCAGAAGGCACGGGGGCTTCCTGGGCAGGAGGCACTGGTGCTGGGTATCTAGAGAGGCTTTTAGGCAGCATGAAAACAGGGACACAACAGATCAAAATGGGACAGTGTAAAGATGGGGACACAGAGATGAGGACAGGGATGGCACCAGTTCCAGCAGCCCGCTCCCTCCAGGATGTCGACCGATCCCTACCTCATCACAGAGAGACTTGTCTGAGGGGTTCAGGAGGACCAGGGTCTCCAGGGTGTCTCCGCGGTGGTGCAAGCTCCGCTGGCCTGTGGGGGAATCAGGCTGGGTCACTCACTCTGGGTCAGACTGTCCTGGAGTCGAACTCTTCTTCCCTGTGTGACCCTCAGGCAGCACAAGTCCTCGGAGAACCCACCCAGGAGTCATATGGGGATTAACAGGAACACAGTAGCTGTAGGTCAGGACATGGCCAGAATAGGAAACCCCAACCCAACCCGGCAGGCCTCACCATGGAAACGGCAATAACAAGAAGGCCCTCACCACCACTGACTCGCAGCCCCAGGCCGGATCGCAGTTTGACTTCCCCTAGTTGAGGAAGCCATCGCCACCCCTGTGTTATAGATGAGGAGGCTGAGCCCAGGGAGACCAATGAGGGCAGTCCAGGAAGAGAGTACAACATGGGCAAAAGCCCCGAGACAGGACTGAACCCTGGAAGCCCGAGCAAGGGGCAGGGCATGGTGGTAAGGGGACTGGTGTTACTTCTGGGATCCTGTTCCTGACCCTGGTCTGTACTCCAGAGCCCAGATGTGTTTCAAACACCGAGCATCGGGCCCCAAGGCTGGAGAGGTCAACCTTCTCTATGTTTATCATGCTTCTTATCACACACGGATATTGCCCCATTTAGGTGAGGAAACCAAGGCACAGAGAGAAGGGAAGTGGCCACTGAGGTCATACAAAGCAGACAGAATTTCCAGCCCCCCTTGCTGCTCCACTAGGGGTCAGGAAGCCACCAGGACCCACTGGGACAATGAGAGGATGGGCACTTCCTTCCCCTCCTGCAGCAGCCGGCAGGTGACCAGCCGGGGCAGGGTGGCTGCAGGCAACACCCAACCCCTGCCTAAGAGCTGCTCTGTTCATCCCAGGTTACCCCAGAAGCTCCTGGGAGCTTTGTTCTATGTGAGGCCCTCCTTGGTCTCACTTCTTGTCAGTTCCCCATATACTGAGTGCCTATTGTGTACCTGGCCCTGTGCAGGGGTTCCAGCTGCAAACCAGACTCAGTCCCTGCCTGTAAGGGGTACACGCTTCATCCTCCAGGGCCTGATCAGTGACTTCCCTCCCCCACCTTCCAGATACTGGGCCTTTGCTGAGATCCTTCCTCCACCAGCTCCAGCAGTTTCTCATCCAAAAAGCCCCCTTTTCAGAGGTCTTCCCCACCCCCAAACATCAAGGTTTCCTTATCTGTAAGACAGGGACAAAAACACTGGTTCCTGTCTTGTGGATTGTTGAGAATCAAGAGAATTATCGCTGGGTCAGGCCTCACCTGTGCTCAGCACTTGGTAGGTCTGGGCTGTATTGTTACTGCTTTTGTTTACCGCCGTGCCCCACCCCCCAAGTGTGGCACCCAACTGGCACTCCGTGAGCATCTATCTGCCCAAAGAACAAGCAGAAGGGGAGCAGTTGGGGCACACGGGGACTCCAGTCTTACCTTTCACGATGCTGGAGAAGGTGGCCGAGTGTCGGGACACAAAGATCTTGAGCTGTTCGTCCAGGCTATAGACACCAGGATCAACATCCCAGGACCGGATGCCTGGTGGGAAGTGGGACGTCGGGATGGGAGTTCAGCTGGACCCCCAGCTTCCAGAATATTTCCGTAACTAGCACCTGCGGGTGGAGGCTGCCCTGGCCCCCTCCCCTTGACTTGCCCTTGATCACTCGCTGCAGTCTGAAGACTCAGAGCCACCCAACACCTGTGGATCTGGCTGTAGCTGAGTGAAGGGACGCAGAGCACACACCTCAGCATTTTACAGACAAGGCTCAGGACATCCACAACAAGGCTCCCACCTCCCAAATGGTCATTTCATACCCTCCATCTCCCCTTCTTGCTGCTCCTCTGCTCTGCGAGGCATGCTCCCACAATGGGCCTCTGCACGAGCTGTTCCCACTGCCTGGTGGCCCTTCCCCAGTGTCCCTCACCCTTCAGGTAATAAGACCAGCTGTCCTCTCAGCCCTTTGCATCCGAACACTCTTGTCACCATACAAGCTTAAGACTTGTTCGTCTCCTCACTCACTCTGTATCTATCCCCCAACCAGACCGTGAGCTCTAAAGGACGGGCCTGAGCTTGTCTGTCATCCTCGGGCCGTGTCCCTGTGCCTGGTTGGCCCAAAACCTGGCACACAGTAGATGTTCAGGTAACATTCCCCAAGGACATGAACGGACATGTGTGCTGCCGTCCCATTTTACAGGCGACGGAACGCAGGCCCAGACATTCCGAGGGACGGGGACGGACGCCCTTCCGACCCGCGGTTGTACTGGTGCACCACGCCCGCCAGCCCCACCGTGCCAAGTGGCTGCAGGTGAACCTTGCAGGTGCACCTATGATTCACCTCCCTAGGTGCCAAGTCCCCCGGGCAGGCCGCACCCGCCCACACCCCAATTAGCAGCTCCTCGTGCAGCAACAGAAAGCGAGCCCCGAGGCTGCAGGCCTGGCCTCTCCCATAACCGCTCCCCGCTCCCCGCTCCGAGACGCCAGGGCTGCTGAGACCCGGGGATCCTAGGCGACCCCGCCCTTCCCCTCAGGCGGGCCCGTCGGGCGAGAAAAGCAGCCGTTCGTTGCTCAATAGCGCGGCCCGGGGTCCCCTGCCCAGTCCCCTGCACCCGAGATCGGCGCGAGGCAGCCCGGCCCGGACGCCGCCTCCTCCGCGGACGCTCACGGCCTTTGTCCGCGCCGTACGCCTGACGGTGAGGGGACCGAGCCCGGCCCGTTCACCCCCGGGATCGCGATGACCCCCGCCCGCCATCCCTAGCTCCACCGCCCCACCCCCACCCATGGGCCGAGACGCGCGCCCGC